GAGACCAGAGATGTTGAATAAAGACATTTTCAGATAAGAAAAAATGAAATAATTTACCACTGGCAGAGCTACTTACCAGAAATATTAAAGCAATGGCTTTAGGCTGAAACGAAATATCACCAGGTAATAATACAAGTACATGCAAATACAGAGAGACCACCAAAAATATAAATATTTTTAAATATATATTTATATATTTAAATATAAATATTTAAAAAATATTTTATATATTTAAATTAAATATATAAATATATAAAAGTCCATATACTTATTTAAGTTCTTTATAAGTAATAAAATTGTATAAAAAATTAATTTACGAATAAGCTTATAACATGTATAAATGTAATGCACAGGCATAACTCCTGTTGTGCTTTGTTTTGTTGTGTTTTAAAGTTTCTGTGTTTTGTTTTTTTCACAAGCTGAAAGTTTATGGCACGCTTGTGTAGAGCAAGTCTATCAAAACCATTTTCCAACAGCATGCGCTTACTTCGTGTGGCTGCACAGATTAAGAGATGTTTTTAGCAATAAAATATTTTTCAATTAAGGTATATACATTGTTTGGTTTAGACATAACCCTAGCATAGTTAATATAATACATTATAATGTAAAATAACTTTTATATATTTTAAGAAACAAATAAATTGGTGTAACATGCTTTATTGTTATATGAGCTTCATGGCAGTGGTCTTCAGTCAAAGCCTCAACATCTCAGAGATATACCTGTGCATGACAATCATAGCCAAAAGGTGAGGAAGATGAAATGGAGCTATATGGAAGCAAATTCTCCATAGTTTAAATAATTAAAGCTACTGTTGTTTGTAAATTGAATGTTATAGTTTAAGGTTCATATTGTTGTTCCCAGGTCAACCACTAAGAAAATAAATCAAAATTTATAGTGGATTTGAATAGATCTTTCTTCAAAGGAGACTTATGTATGGCTAAAAATTATATTAAAAAATATCAAGACCACTATCCACTATGAAAATGCCCATGAAAACAAGAAAACATCACTTTTCAAACACTAGAATGGCTTTAATAAAACAATAGGCAAAAGACAATTTATGCTTATATATTATTTTTCAAAAAACATATCCAGTATATGATTCTGTTAACTTTTTCTTTCAATGAGCACTTCTATATAAAATAAGCTCTCAAACATAAAATCCAAAGGCCAAATCCAGTTGAATAAATTCTCTGCAATTGCCAGTTCCATCCTTTTGGGAAGTTCTGGAAGTGTAAGTGATTACATGTGAATTCATCAGGTTGAAATTTCCATTTTTACAGTGACTTCCTCATATACAAAGAGCTTCCAATTTGAGTCACCATTATCATTAATAATAGTACTATAGGGAAGTGAAGATAATTACCATCAATCTCCCCTGTATGGCAAGTTATTGCTTGTATCTGAGATGGAACTTATAAATTTCCCTCTCAATTTGTGACTTTTTCAGAAGCAGGAAAGAATCATTAGTCAACCTGATTTACAGGGTACAGAAATATTTTCAGTCTTGGTTTATACAAAAACTCAGTGAAAAAATTCAATTCTAATAAGATAATCAGATCATTTATCTCCAGATCTTGCATTTATTGTCTACAGGATAAGGTCTTTTTTTACTTCAAATGTTAATTTACTAGATTTTTATAATGTTTATGTAACTCTGGAAATTATGAAGAAAATCCTAGGAATTATAGATAATTTGTGAGGAAAGAGAGAGAGGGGATTCTTTCTGATTATTCCCAAATATTTTTCAAATGTGTACACATGGCAGTCTCAACTAAATTCAGGTAACTGTTGGTGAGGAACATTATTTATTATTTTATTTTTCTTTCAAAATTCTGGACTATGCAGAGATACTTTCCTAAACCGAGGAAGTGCATGATGATTCATCTCAGAAGATTACAAATTAATAAACTTGTTCTGAGAGATCAGTATGAAGGGGCAAATCAGGCTTGTCCAATATGGTTCTAGTGTAGGGATTTGTAACCATTTTCACACCAAAGACTTGGAAGATCTAGTGACATTTACAGACTTGTTCTTAGTATCTGGTTTTTACAGAAGTGAAACATACATAGCATACGATTTTCCACTTTTAAATGTACAGTTTAGTAGTATTTAGATCTCCAGAGTGTTTTTTCATGCAGAATTGAAACTCTATGGATTAAACAACAAAGCCTTTTTCTCCCTCTTCCCACCCCCTGGTAACAACAATTATGCTTATGCTTTCTATATTTACACTGTAAGTAGTGTTGCTATGAACATGTACGTACAAATATCTCCTGGAGAACCTCACTTTAACTGTTTTGGATAAATACCCAGAAGTGTGATTGTTGAGTATCATATGGTATTTGTATTTTTAATTTTTTGAAGAAGTCAGTATTGTTCTCCATAAAGGTTGCACCATTTTACAATCCAACCAACAATGCACAAGATTTTCAACTTGTCCATATCCCTGCTAATACACTTGTTACTTTCCGGTTTTATTTGTTTTTGATAGTTTCTACACCAATGGATATTAGCTGATATCTCACAGTAAAATGTATTTCTCTGATGATTAGTGATACAGAGCACCTTTTCATGTTTGCTGGACTTTGCATACCATCTTTGGAGAAATGCTTATTCAAGTTTTACCCACTTTGAATTGGACTACTTGAACTTTTGTTCTTGAATTGTAGGAGTTCTTTATATATTCTAGATATTAACCTCTTATGTGGTTAAAGCTATGTGGTTTGCAAATATCTTCTCCCATTTCGTAGGGTCCCTTTTTACTCTGTTCATGATATACCTTGCCAAGCAAAAACTTTTAAGTTTGATGAGGTCTCACTGGCCTATTTTTGCCTTTATTGCCTGTGTGCTCACTATGATTTTTATACATTTGTAAAATAAAATACTTAGGATCATGAATAAATTTAATTATTTTGAAACATATTGGTCAAACTATAGAGACTATAAAATTCAGTTATGTATGTGATAATACTGATACATCACATGATGAAGTCTTAAGGCAGGACTAATAAGTAGCAAAATATACTAGTAGTTTTGATTGTACATGTGAAGCAGGTTTACTCTGCACTGGTTCCCAATTTGCTTGAGTCTGATGAGATAGAACATTTATACATAACGAGTTATATGAAGTAGATTTGATACTTACAAATACACATAAAAAGACAACAGAAGCCTAGTACTGCTTGTAAGCCAGCCTGCCGTGGCTCAGGAAAGCTGCCCAGCGTGGATAGAGTATTATCTGTGTATATCCTAATTGGACCACAGCTGAGAGGTCCTGGAAACCAGCACATCCTTGATTTTATAACCTCAGAGTTCCATGGATCACTGGGTTAAAGCATTGAAGGACATAATGTTTCTAAGGAAGGACCAGGAAAGAGACCAGGCTGTTCCAGATAGTTCTGTCTTATCTTAGGACATTGCATTCATAGCACATTCTACAATTATTCTTGAGAACTGTAAGTGAGAAAATGGGGAGAAATGGGTTGATGTAAGGTCACTCAGAATTATTCTCCAGTCAACATATTTCAAGATATCTGCAGCAAGGTAATGTGATATAAAAATATACAAAATTTTATTTGGTGACAGGCACTCTAATACTACTTTGTATTGTTTGCATATACCTAAGATAGAGTAAATTTCAGTTAGCTATTAGTGAATACCAAGATTCAACTTCTTTGTTCCCCTTTAAAGTCCATAGGTTAAACCCCATTGTGAAAGACTGAAATACTAATCTTCCCCCACCACACACCCCTATTATACTCCTCAAGGGCCTTCTGTCCAATATTGTCCAAAACAAATTCCCACGCCTAAGGACCTTGGAATCAATATGGTGCAGAAGACAGGCTGCATAGCAGAAGAAGCAACTCTGCCAACATGTTTATTAAAAACTCCTTTAGGTGTCAAGATTATTTTACTGACAATAATTAATTAAATTAAATTAACTTTACAAATACACATATTTTGAAAATTAAAAAAAATCTTTTGCAATATTCTTTTCTTATGAATTTTTATAACAATAAACATAAAGATTTAAGGCCATTTAATAAAATACATTTCCACAATACGTGAGTACTTAGCCTAGCCAATCCCCATATTGGCAATTAAAAAGTAATTCCTTGCAAGAAAGAAAATTTATCAAGGAGATATAACTCACACATATGTCTTATTCCTTGGAAACTGATGCAATCAGACAGCCAAGAAAAATACTGAATAAAATAAAAGTTTTCATGCTTTATGAACCAGGGAAAATGGAGTGAATTAAACACAAAACTCCAGGAGCTACTTCTATTGAATAAAGCAGCAGGGATTCTTCAGTTGGTCAGTTGCCCTAATGAATAGAGTCTATAATTAAATCAAGGCCCTAACAAAATGACTTTTATAATGAAAGAAAACGGCCGACAGGCAATAAGACGTGTATAAATAAATGTTAAAAGCTTATCAAAACAAAAGAACAATATTTTCAAAAGAACTTTGTAAAAATATAATTTACAGAAATAATCGAATTATGAGCAGCCTTACTAAGAGGGCAATTTAATTGCCCTTGACCTACTTTAGCAATTGAGTCCTTCTTGATATTTCTTCTCTGTTTGAGATTTCTCTCCATTTTATGATTCTTTTTCTGAATTAAAATATAAGGTTACATCACCTATACCTTATGATTTTTATTTGAAATTTAATTTAAAAGGGTTTATAAGGCTAGAGTTAACATTATATATCTACATATAATAGATATATATATACACATGCATACATATATATGTACATACATATCTGTATGTACATAAAAACAGTACACAAACACACATATAGATATATAACTTACCTACACATAATGTTTACGTCATATTAATTAAAATAATTTTTTCCTTGGTAATGTTAACTTCTCTGAAATTAACACAGCTTCACAGTAAAAAATAAAGAGGAGATACCGTTAAAGAGTATTTTTAATGTCCTTAAATAACCAACTTACAATGCCCATAAAATCAGTAATAGACGGGTGGGCTCCCCGCGTCGCGATGGAGGAGAGCAGGTTCGAGTCGGTGCTGTGTGTCAAGCCTGACGTCCCCGTCCACCGCATCCCTCCGCAGGCTACCAACCGTGGCTACAGGGCCACGGAGTGGCAGCTTGACCAGCCATCATGGAGTGGCCGGCCGAGGTTCACTGCAAAGGAGCAGATGGCCTACATCAAGCTGGAGGACAGGACCTCAGGGGAGCTCTTTGCTCAGGCCCCAGTGGATCAGTTTCCTGGCACGGCTATGGAGAGCGTGGCGGATTCCAGCAGGTACCTCGTGATCTGCATTGAAGATGGAAACGGGCAACGGGCGTTTATTGGAATTGGCTTCGGGGACCGAGGTGATGCCTTCGACTTCAATGTTGCATTGCAGGATCATTTCAAGTGGGTGAAAGAGCAGTGTGAATTTGCAAAACAAGCCCAGAACCCAGACCAAAGCCCCAACTTGGACCTGGGCTTCAAGGAGGGCCAGGCCATCAAGCTCAACATTGCAAACATGAAGAAGGAAGGAGCAGCCGGAATCCCGGAGCCCGGCCTGCCAGCACAGGAGGGTTGAGCTTGCTTCCCCCTGCCCCAGGGGGCAAAACCTCCACCCTCATCCCTGCCCCTGGGGAGCAGTTGTCGGTGGGGGGATCCCTCCTCCAGCCAGCAGTTGCTCCCACTTCAGGAGGTGCTTCTGTACCCTGGCCACAGCCCAAGCCTGCCACCGCTGCCATCTGGGGAGACTTTACCAAATCTACAGGATCAACTTCCAGCCAGACCCAACCAGGCTGGGTCCAGTTCTGACCTGAGCACAATTTTTCCTCATGGGACTTCTGGGAAGGAGCTCCCTCATCTGGGCCAAAGGAAGGAGGGCGAAGCATTCCTCAACTGGCCTGTGTTTGCAGCATGAATCTCTCCTCTCTCCTTGCCTGGCTCTGTTGACAAACTGGGCATGTTTGGCAGTAAATTGGCATCTTGTCACACTGTTTCCTGGAATTCAAGCATGCAACCAGTACACAGAAGAAAAGCTCCGGGATCCCTGTCCCCATCTGTCCTCTTGACATGAGACAGACTCTGAGACTTCTTCTATGGCAATGACACGTATTAAACACAAGCCCCCAAAGCAAAATAATGGGGTGAGTTTGCTGCCTGGATTCAGATCAGCCCTTCTAGGGTCTGCAGGCATCAAGTGATCACTGTTCAGTGGGGGGCTTTCTTTACCCACCCTGGCTGTAGCCACTTCAGTCCATCTGTCCTACAGAGGAGAGGTTCCTTCCTGATTTTTATCAGGTTTAGAGGCTATAGCTTGAACTTACAACCAGGAGGGAAATTGGAAGGATTAAGCAGCTTTTAAAAATGTTTAAATGTTTTGCTTTGCTAATGTGCTGATCCTCACTAACTCATCTTTGCAAAAAGAACTTCTCCCTCAGTGTGCTCCAGCGGTGTCTCTGAAGGCATTCCTCACTGTCAGCAGCTGCCCTGAGCTGCAGGCAGCAGTGTTCATCTCTGGCCAGTTGTCTGGTTTCCATGTATTCTAGGCCAGTTAGGCAACACAGAGCCAAGGCGGGTGCTGGAAGCCGGCTGGAATCGTGTTGGGGCAGGAAGGTAGAAGCTGTCGGCATGGAGCTGTGGGAGCCAGCACTCCTGTCAGCTCGCGACCCTCTGGGCTCACCGATTCACAGCGCAGCTCCTGGCAGACGGGTTTCTCTCTGGTGGTTTCTAAAGTGCCTTATCTGCAAACAACTTCTTTCTTTTCTCCTTCAGAGACTGTGAATGACTAGCCGAAGGAGCTCAGTAAACTAGAAGTCCAGGGTTGCTTGAATTACTGGCTTGTAAGAAATCGGAACGCACCTCTGAAATTCCTTTTATCAACTTACCTCTCAGTTGAAAGATTTCTTTTTTCAAGGGTCAAGACCATGAACCAAAAAAAGTGTTGGCCTTTTTGTGGGACCAGATTTTTAAGATAAAATAAATATTTTTACTTCTGTCATTGTATGTGAAAAAAAAATCAGTAATAGGCAAGTTTGTTCTGAAATTTATAGGTTAAAATGAACACAAAGAAAACAAACTTCAACCAGACATATTGAAATCATTCAGCCAATGTTTTTGATGTTACTTGCTGGATGACATTTATTTCATTTACTTTAATATGTAGCATATATGCTTCCCATGAGTGCTAATTCACTTAACATAATAACTGTGTATTTATATATCACTTTTGCAGATCATATTTCAGGTGTGCTGCTAGAGCTACTCCATGGGTGGAAACATTTGTCATACAGGTGACTTTTCTATGCGCATACATCAAACACTGCATGGGTGAAAGTTTGCTCTTGAGTGTGTGTGAAAAGTTTCTTTAAAATGGTCACTTTTTAGCAAACTCCCATGGGGAGGTGACCAGCCTCACACTTGCAGCTGCCGGCTGTTTAAGCCATTTGAGCTTTTTGGGGAAGGGAGAGTAGTCAGCACTGGGACTCACAACTCCCTAACACGCTAAGCTCCCGGGGCAGGGGAAGGACGGCATTCATCTCTACAGTTCCAGGCTGTGCTTTTCCTCTGCTGGAGCCAGGGAAGCTGGATGGCTTGGTCCCAAGATGTGTCCCCTATAGCCCAACACATCAGCTGAGGAAGACTGCAGCCAGAGTGCCTCTTCAGGCCTGACTCTGACTCATTCTTTCTCATTGGGTGGAGCTTCCATGCAGGAACTTCTGCAACTCCAGCCAGAGGTTCAGGGACAGAAACCAGAACTCCCTGGGCCTGATTCCCTATGGGATGGGTGGCCACAGAGTCTGTGGACCAGCAGACTTAGCCTTTCCTCCTGGTAGTCCTGAGGAATCTAGGCAGCCTAGATGAGTGGGTTTCTCCCCAGTAAAGCACACACCCTCCACCAAAGACAAAGTGCTTTGTTAAACGCCTCCTGTTCTCTGTGTCACCCAAGTGGGTGACACCCTTTGACAGGGGTTGTCAGATACTCTATACGGAGTGATCCTACTGGCATCAGGTTGGTGCCCCTTGAGGTCAGAGATCCCTAAAGAAGGAGCAGGCACTCATCTTAGCTGTCCTCCAGCCTCCTTGAGTGACATCTCCAGGAGTGGGAGCAAACCAGATAAATGGAGCCTGGAGTGAACTCCCAGCAAACTGCAAAAGCCCTACAGAAGAGAGACATGACCATTGAAAGAAAAACAAACAGAAAGCAACAACAATATCATCAACAACAAGAAAAAAGCCCCCACAAACACCCCATCAAAGGGTCAGCAGCCTCAAAACCAGACAAACTCACGAAGATAAGAATCAACAAAAACAATGCTGAAAACCCAAAAGGTGAGAGTGCCTCTTCTCCAAATGACTACAATATCTCTCCAGCAAGGTCACAGAATTGGACAGAGGATGAGACGAATGAATGGACAGAAGTAGGCTTCAGAAAATGGGTAATAAAAAATTATCATGAGCTAAAGGAGCATGTGCTAACCCAATGCAAGGAAGCTAAGAACTTCGGTAAAAGGCTAGAGGAGCTGCTAACTAGAATAACCAGTTTAGAGTGGAACATAAATGACTTGATGGAGCTGAAAAACACAGCATGAGAACTTCATGAAGCATATAAAAGTATCAACAGCTGATTCAACCAAGCAAAATAAAACATGTCAGAGTTTGAAGAACACCTTACTGATATACAACATGCAGACAAGATTAGAGAAAAAATAGAAAGGAATGAACAAAGCTTCCAAGGAATATGGGACTTCATAAAAAGACTGAACCTATGATTGATTTGAGTACCTGAAAGAGATGGAGAGAATGGAAACAAGCTGGAAAACATACTTCAGGATGTTATCCAGGAGAACTTCCCCAACCTAGCAAGACAGGCCAACATGCAAATTCAAGAAATACGGAGAACACCACTAAGATACTACGTGAGAAGATCATCCCCAAGACATGTTATCATTAGATTCTCCCAGATCATTAAGGGCAGCCAGAGAGAAAAGCCAGGTTGCCTACAAAGAAAAGTCCATCAAACTAACAGTGGACCTCACAGTAAAAACTGTGTAAGCCAGAAGAGATTGGGGGCCAATATTCAACATTTTTAAAGGAAAGAATTTTCAACCCAGAATTGCATATCCAGCCAAACTAAGCTTCATAAACAAGGGTGAAAGAAAATCGTTTTCAGACAAGAAAATCCTGAGGGATTTTATTATCACCAGGCCTGCCTTATAAGAGCTCCTGAAAGAAGAACTAAATATGGAAAGGAAAAACCAGTACCAGTCACTGCAAAACCATACCAAATTATAAAGACCAATGACACTATGAAGTAACTGCACCAACTAGTTTGCAAAATAACCAGATAGCATCATGATGACAGGATGGAATTCACATATAACAATACTAATCTTAAATGGAAATGGGCTAAATGCCCCATTAAAAGACACAGATTGACAAATTGGATAAAAGTCAAGACTATTGGTTTGCTGTATTCAGGAGACCCATCTCACGTGCAAAGAAACACATAGGCTCAGAATAAAGGGGTAGAAGAAAATTTACCAAGCAAAAGAAAAACCAAAAAAAAAAAGAGGGTTTTGTTCTTAGTTTCTGTCAAAGCAGACTTTAAATCAACAAAGATCAAAAAAGACAAAGAAGGGCATTACATAATGGTAAAGGGAACAATTCAACAAGAAGAGCTAACTATTCTAAATATATATGCACCCAACACAGGAGCACCCAGATTTATAAAACAAGTTCTTAGGGATATGCAAAGAGACTTTGACCCCCACACAATAATAATGGGAGATTTTAACACCCCATGGTCAATGTTAGATCAACAAGTCAGAAAATTAACAAGGATATTCAGGTTTTGAGCTCAGCTCTACAGACATCTACAGAACTCTCCACCCCAAAATGTACAGAACTCTCCACCCCAAATCAACAGAATATAAATTCTTCTCAGAGCCACATGGCAATGAATCTAAAACTGTCCACATCATTAGAAGTAAAACACTCCTGCAAATGAAAAAGAAATGAAATCATAACAGTCTCTCAGACCACAGTGCACTCTAATTAGAACTCAGGATTAAGGCACTCACTCAAAACCACACAATTACATTGAAATTGAACAACCTGCTCCCGAATGACTACTGAGTAAATAATGAAATTAAGGCAGAAATCAAGAAGTTATTTGAAACTAATGAGAACAAAGAGACAACATACCAGAATCTCCGGGACACAGCTAAAACAGTGTTAACTGGAAATTTATAGCACTAAATGTCCACACCAGAAAGCCAGAAAGATCTTATATAGACACCCTAACATCACATTTAAAAGAGCTAGAGAGGCAAGAGCAAACTAGTCCAAAAGGTAGCAGAAGGCAAGAAATAATCAAGATTAGAGCAAAGTTGAAGGACATAGAGACGTGAAAAACCCTAAAAAATTTCATTTACTCAAGGATCTGGTTTTTTGAAAAAAAAAAAATAATAATAACAAAATAGATAGACTACTAGCTAGACCAATAAAGAAGAAGAGACAGAAGAATAAAATAGACACAATAAAAAATGATTAAAAAAATGTCTAGCCCCACAGAAGTACAAACTACCATCAGAGAATATTATAAACACTTCCAAGGCTAAACCAGGAGGAAGTTGAATCCCTGAATAGACCAATGACCAGTTCTGAAATTGAGGCAGTAACTAATAGCCTACCAACCAAAAAAAGCCCCAGACCAGACAGATTCACAGCCAAATTCTACCAGGGTTACAAAGAGGAGCTGGTACCATTTCTTCTGAAACTATTCCAAACAATTGAAAAGTATTGATTCCTCCCTAACTCATTTTATTAAGCCAGCATCATCCTGTTACTAAAACCTGGCAGATACACACACACACACACACACACACACACACACACACACACGCACACAAATAAAACTTCAGGCCAATATCCCTGATGAACATCGATGCAAAAATCCTCAATAAAACATTGGCAAATCAAATCCAGCAGCACTTCAAAAAACCTACTCAACAGGATCAAGTAGGCTTCATCCCTGGGATGCCTGGCTGGTTCATCATACGCTAATCAATAAACATACTCCATCACATAAGCAGAACCACAGACAAAAACTGCATTATTATCTCAATGTAGCAGAAA